TCTTCCAGTGTCTCCATAACTCGGCTCTGCCGCGGTGTGCGCGCGCGTGTTTAAACTTGGGAGGTCCCAGCAGTTTGCAAGCGTGGGTGAAGGGTTTCCGCAAAGTCCCGTGGACGGCAGAGCGAGCGCGAGAGGTAGAACCGACTGGAAGAGTGGCGGCCACTCAGGACGCAGCGTCCTCTCCGTCCGCCCTCGGGGCTCGTGCTGCCTCACCTTTCAGTAACTCCTGCCTCCTGGTTGACTGGGGGTTCTCCAAGATAGTCGTGCTCGGGACTATTCGGGCTTCATTTAGGAACACAGGTAAATTAAGGATGCTTTCCTTGAGTAGATAGTGGTGTGGTAAAAATGACCTGGGAGTTTCGCAGACCTGGGTTGTGATATCAGCCTCACCATTCATTTAGTGTTTTGGCCTTGGGCAGGTGACTTTCCTTTTCTCAACTTAAGGCTCTTCATTTGTGGAATGAGAGTTCCTGCACAGTGGGTGGTTGTGAAGTTTAAATGAGATAATGCTATAGTTGCTAACTCACAATAGTGGTGCATGAAATAATGGTGTATATCTAGCGTTTTATATTGATGAGGAAGGGTAACTCATTTAATGAAATGTGTTCAGTAACGACAATATATTGAAAATACAGAGACAGACAGAGTTATTAAGTGTGGGGCAATCAGGAGACATTACAGGGGAGACCCTGGGATGGTGGAAGAGGAGTGGTCGGGGACAGCAAATGTAAAGTTTAGCTGAGTAAGAGTATATGGTGATTTCAGAGACCAGATATTATTCAGTAATGTTAGTGTATGAGGTGGGAATTGAGACTGCTGCCTGATTATGCTAGGCCTTGAAAAGGAACTAGGTAGAATGATTTGAATTATGTCTTGTAGGTGATGAGAAACTACTGAATGATTCTTCCCTTTGTTTTTATTGAATAAGTTAATGTTCACAGTTACAATTTTGAAAGGTCACAGTGCAGCAGTTTAAAAGGAGGATTGAGAAGGCTAAGAGATGCAAAAGTGTAATACCTGTAGGAAATTATAGTAGTTAGTTGGGGTGAGAGCCTGACTGAAGACTGCGGCAATGGTATTAAAGAAGGAATTTGTGAAACATTAAACAGAATTATTTGGCAGAAATTGATGACTGGTAGGAAATATGAAGGTGTTCACAATTCGGAAAAAATTCAGAGGCTTTTGACTCATGACTGAGGCTACTAACCTATAAGCAATGCTAGGATTAGGTTCGGCTGGATAGGGAAAAGACAGTGCTTCAGAAATGTTGAATTTGAGGTACTCATGGGACATCAGGTGAAAATGATGTTGATGTACAGTAAAAAATTTGAGTTCTGCATCTAGACAAAGTTGAGGGCTTGAAAGAGAGACCTGAGATTGGAATTACTAGCATTTAGGTAGAAGTCGAGGCTGTAGGAGTGGAGCAGATTACCTAAGAAAGGGTAAATTAGGGAAAGGGCTCCTAAGATGGGGTCCTGGCCTCCCCAAAGAGTCCATGGATAGAACTGTATTTTATTATAACTGATTTCTTGTGTAATCTATTTTAAGACATTCTAAGAAGGGATGCATGAATTTCCAAAGCTGTTTCTATTAGTTTGCTAGGGCTATGATAACATAGTACCACAGACTGAGTGGCTTAAACAAGAGAAATTAATTTCTTACAGTCTTAGAGGCTAGAAATCTGAGGTCAAGCTGTCTGCAGGGTTGTATTCTTTGGAGGCTTTTCTCCTTGGCTTAAATGGTCGTCTTCTGTGTCTTCACATGGTCTTTCCTGTGTACATATGTGTCCAGATATCTTTATGTAAGGATGGACACCAGTCATATTAGATTAGAGCCCACCCTAATGATCTCATTTTAATTTAATCACATCTTTAAAGATCTTATCTCCAAATACAGTCACATTCTAAGGTACTAGGGGCTAAGACATTAGCATATTCATTCATTCATTCTTCCGTCCATCCATCCATTCATTCACTTTAATGCCTACAGCACCTGGTATTCCTAGGTGGTTTCCGATCCAAGTACTAACCAGGCCTGACCCTGCTTAGTTTCCGATATCGGACTAGATCAGGCACGTTCAAGGTGGCATGGCCATAGATCAGCATATGTATTTTATGGGGAAATAGTTACGCCCAGAACATCTGGTGCTGGGCAAAATACTGGTTCTGTAGGCAAGGAATTGGAATTTATGTAGTCAGGATATTTCTTTCCCCGGCATTCTGGTTAATCAAAATGTTAAAGTTTACTAATTCATATTCATTGGTATACTTTACTTACTGTTTGTATTTGAGTTTACATATGCTGAAAATAAATGCAGTAATCTGCTTTTAAGGACTCCTACTTTCAGACAAAATAGTTTGGACCGGAGACTTGTATAGAGAAAGTTAATTACTTTAGGAAATGTAGCAAATGCAGAAACTTACTTTCAAATTAGAAATAAAAATAAGTGGCTCTTCATTTTGTTTAAATAAAAATAATATCATTATTCTGTAAAGACGCCATTTCTCAACCACAAATATTTGTAGTACAATTGATTTTATTTTTAAATTTTATTTAAAAAAATTTTGAAATAGTTTAAAAATACTAAAAAATAAAATATATACATAAATTTGCATGTGATAGTCTGTACTTCTACTTAGATTAAATAGATGTAATACTTTGTTATATTTGTCTCAGATATATGGAGAAATAAAATGTTATTTATATGGAGTCCCTCTGTCCCCTTCCTTATTAGTAACCACTAACTGAAGTTAGTATGTAGCATTCCAAACTCCATGCATATTTTTACACTTTTACTAAGTATGGATGTATCCATAATGAATTAAATTGTATCATAATGTGTATACATACACACAGACATATATATATAGTAACTAGCTTTTTAAGTGATCATTCTTTCGAAATTTATCCTTGTCGATGCATGTAGATCTGGACCATTCATATTAAGCGATATATAGTATTTCACTGTAGTAAGAAACCGTAATTTATGTTTCCATAATGAGAGACAACCAGACCTTTTCCAATGGCAAACAATGTGACAGTAATAATTATCAGAGCAGCTACCACTTATTGCACTTATTATGTACTGGCTACTGTTCTAACTGCTTATATACATTAAAGCTTTTAACACTTAATCATTATAGCATCTCGTGAGATAGGAAGCATCATTATACACTTTTTCCCTATGAGGCAGAGAGGTTAGTAAATTGCTCTAGGTCACATAGGTAGTGAACATTCTGGTTGGTTTCTTTTTATATATACGTGAGAGAATTTTTCTAGAAAAGATATGAGTAATTTCCGTGTATGTACTTTCAACGTTAGTAAATGTAATTAAATTAACAAAGTGGTTGTACCAATTTACACCTTTTATAAGCAGACGTATAAAATCTCCTTAATTCTTTGATAGCACTCGGTCTTGCCAGAGTTACTAATTTTTACCACTTTAGTGTGAATACTTAGTATTTCTTTATTAATTTTAATGATTGAAAAAAATTCTCTTTCAAAAACCAGTGCCTGGAAAACCCAAGTGCTTTGTTATAGGAGGTGTGCTGTTTTAGTTGAAGTAATTTTAAAGTATAATTAGAGCCTGTTCTCTGAATTTAGATGTGAAAAAAAAATTACCAGCCTTCTCCCTCAGCATATAATTTTATCTCCTAAAAATCTTTGAATTGTGCATATTCGATGATACCTTCATTTTAATGATTGTCACTTGGCTTGTTATTCTTCAGGGTCCCTGTTTTTCTAGGGGCTTTTGACCTCATAGCATGGAATACAGTTTCCTTTAACATATGAAAAAGGTACCTAAGTGTACTGGATTTCTTCCGTTTGCCCTCCAGATCCATTTTCCACCCACCTCCATCTTCTCTGTGCCCTCGAAGACTGACTCTTGTAGACTGCATCAGCAGGCTCTCTTGATCTCTGGTTTGGCCAATGGTAGGGTAACCATACTTCCTGCTTTGCCTCTTGTCCTAGTACAGTTCTTAATAGGGACCCTTTCACACTCAAGTTGTCCAGTTTGGATGAGATTTCACAAGATCCCCCTAGCCCATAGAGAAGGGGAAGAGAGAACTTGGCATGTTTTTTAGTTTGGTTCCCTCTCCTCAGGGTCAGCCAAGACTGACTGCATCCCTCAACTGAAAGTCACAGGTTCTGTCAGGTAGCACTCCCAGCACAGCTCTTTCCAGGTTCTGGAAGAAGTTCCTTCCCTGTTTCTTCAATTCTACGGATGGCAATATATGTCTGTTACTGTTAGTCCTCGGGTACCCCACTCTCTTTTCTGGTTTTCCTAAATCGTCCCTTGTCTTTGTAAATGGTCCTTTTAATGAGTAAAGTCTCCTCAAATTACTAAATTTTAGTGTACCACCTCTTTCCTGAGTGAACCTCTACTGATATACCATGTATGACACTGGATTTTTAAATTAAATAAATCGTTAGTTTAATGTGTATATAGATTAAAACTAGGTTCAAGGTACTAATACTATGAATGTAATGCCTGTCCTGTTTTAAATAGAGCTTTCTTTCACATGTTATCATTTTAAGCATGTTAGTGCTCTTAATTTTCATATGTAAATTGTGAGATGTTAATGTTAATTATTGTATTGTTTTTTTCAGATGAAGTTGGAGCCCTTGTTTTTGACATTGGGTCCTATACTGTGAGAGCCGGTTATGCTGGTGAGGACTGTCCCAAGGTAAGTGTTATGTCAGAGTTAATTGGATATGTAAAGGCCATGCAGAATCAAGTTGGTGCAGAAATTCTCACTCATATATGATAAAAGACATTAGTTGGGGTAAAAATGACTTGTTGATTAAAGCAGGTAAAACTTGTATGTCATGTTTTTGATTCTTACAGGTGGATTTCCCCACAGCCATCGGAATGGTGCTAGAAAGAGATGATGGAAGCACACTGATGGAAATAGATGGCGATAAAGGCAAACAAGGCGGCCCCACCTATTACATAGATACCAATGCCCTGCGTGTTCCGAGGGAGAATACGGAGGCCATTTCACCACTCAAAAATGGGATGGGTACGATGTCTTTTTCTAGCGACTTGATTATAAATAGAGAGTAGGCATGGCGCATTTTAGATACAAAGCCACGGCTTCTTATAAGTGAATAACTGAACCTCAGGGTGATCTTCGGTATAAGCAATACGATGACCTTTTAAGACCATAAAACTTGTACCCTCTATATCTATACCTATACCTATTCCATGCCTGGTACCCTCTATACCTAATACCTATATGAGGTATTTTTTGTTAGTTTTTGTTCCACAAGCTGACGTTCCAGGTACTGAGACTATGAAGATGTGTAAAACACGTTCCTTTTCTTTAAGAAACTCATAGGTAGGGGAGGTAGATGTATGTATACAAATGTGTAGGATGAGTGGTGTAATATAGCAATGTCTGATAAGCACTGGGTTAGAGAAGAGAGGTGTTTAACTTTATCACTGGAGGTCAGTGACGGTTTTCACAAAGGAGGAGGTAACTTTGGTACAGAATCTCGATCAATGAATAAGAATTAGCCTGAATGAAAGGATGGAGTAGGGCAAAGCAGCCAGCATGTGTAAAGAGACGGTGTTGTAGAAGAAAGTTACATGTTGAGAAATGTCATCAGTTAAGTATGGCTGTAACATCAGGCGCTTTAGGGCCGTTCGTTGCAGGAGGGTAGGCAGAGAGCAATCACAGAAAGGCTTGTAAACCACTCCAGGATGTATTAAGCTGGCAACCGAAAAGTAACCTGAAAGGAAGTTAAACAGATGTGAAATGCTCACATTTGCCAGTTGGAAATGCTCGCATTCTGACAACGCTATGTAGGCTAGAGTGGAGGGAGATACTAGAGACAGGAAGGTCAGTTAGGGAGGTGAGACTCCAGTTGAGAAATGAAGAGGTTTTAAATGATAACACTGATGGCAGAGATTCAGAGATGGCTTTCAGAAATATCTGGGAGACAAACGGAGAATTGCTGAAAAAGTTTTCTAGATTTTTGATAGGGGTGGCTGAATAGAGAGTACCAGGCATGGAGTAGGAATAGAGATGAAGGAACAAGTTTTATGGTCTTAAAAGGTCA